GTCCCACTTCTGTCTATGTGGGCCACTTCTGTCTATGTGGGCCACTCCTCCCCAGGCAGCGCTGGATTTGTGTTGAAATGAGTTCTTACAATCGGCCCAACCGCTCATATTCTCCTAGTTTGAGGGAGTCTTTTGTCTCTCTTCTTCAGTTGACAGCTGCAGTACATTTTCAAAACACTGCAGCTCGAGTCCTGACTTTATTGTTACAATACTTTTGTTACAAGTCTCTCCACGGTCTCGCACTAAAGTACTTTACCTAAATTACTTGGGACTCTAAAGAGCACAGGGACTGGCCTCCTGCTGGGACTCTGAGGAGCACAGGGACTGGCCTCCTGCTTGTCCCAGAATCAGGATTAAACATGAGGCATCTATTCATCTAAAATCTGGAACAGTCTTCCTGAAAATGTGAGACAGGTGGGTTTGTATCTTTACTCTTCTTTAATGTTTGAATGCCTGGTGTTATTGTAATGTATCCTTTCTTGTTTTGTTCAGCACTTTGAGTTGCCTTGTGTATGTACTGTACAATACGAATAAACTCGCCTTGCCCTACGTTTTCTGATTTGAAAAGAATGAATTGAATGCTTTTTCCCTGTTTATTTTGTTTTTAAGCGATCAAAAGTCCTCACGACGACAAAAATGAATTGACCAAGTGTCACTTAGGCCATGGTTTCTAAAGTCTTATCTGTTGCAGTTTTGATCGGGGACGAACTATGAAAGAATAAACTAGCAAATGTTTTTTTGTAAATATTTTTAATGGCTGTTAAAACGGCGTCTGACCTTCAGGCTTTATTTCATTTGTAAATCTCACTTTGACTTTGTGTCGGGCCTCGTTCGTTTGCTCAAAGGTCAGCGTTGGTTTTGAAAATGATTTACTCTGAACTGGAATAATAGAAACACATGTGATTTATTTGGAGGATGTTTCATTTTGAGGTGAAGTCGGATCCAGATGGGGCTTTTTCTGTGTGGAGTTTGCATGTTCTTCCTGTGTCTGCGTAGGTTTCCTCCAGGTGCTCTACTTTTTCATACCACTAAAAGCCTGAAAAATAGTCTGGATGTATCGGTGTTAAAGAAAATGTGTGATATCTGTTTTAAAAATACATTTACAAAGAATATTAATAAATACACTTTTCACATGGACTTATTCCTCCGGGTGCTTCGGTTTCCCCACCACTGAATTCATGGATCACACTTTAGTTCAGCCCTTACTAATGAACAGCTAAATACTTAACCCTTGTATTATGTTAAGGGTCAATTTGACCCATTTCAGTTTTTGTGTTGATCAAAGTACTGGTTATCCTTTCTTTTTCTTGCTGAAATCTGGTGACTTTTTCTCATCTAGGGTCATGAACTGATGTGTAAAATCTGGACACTTTGATGTGTAATGGAATGTCTGTGCAGAGTTTGTATACAAAGACGATGTTGCGGGTCATTTTGACCCAGACGCTTTAATGTGGGTAAATAGTTGTTCAGATCCAAAAAAAACATGTCTCTTTGACATTGTATTTTGATTGCCTCTGAGACCCAGAGCCAGGTGTGTGAAGAGAGGGAACTTTCTCACACTTGTCCTTGTTACTGTTCTCATGTCATCTCTTTTGCCTAGCGTACATCGTACTGGCAACTCATATCCGTCCCCTTTTAGTTGCTGCCCCGCACACATCGACAATCTCCTAGTAGCAGGGCAGTCTCGGGAATAACAGCGTGTACATCGACAGCAACTGGCCTCAACTACAGTGTGTTTTCTGGCATGAACTGTGGAGGGCGCGCAATACACACATGTTGGAGCGTGCCATGGATCTATTAGGAGCGCGCACATCGGGTGATATCTCCGGATCTGAGTATAACTAGTTGCAGAAAAGTAGAACACGGGCAACCAACTGAATCCGGAGATCGACTGTTTATCTCCAGTTGTAAGAGCGCTCCCATCGACCGATTTCGGCAACTGATCATCTCCATCATCTACTCTCAGCGGCCAAAAGCCGCCTTGCAACTAGTTGTCTCTAGTTACTCTGTCAATGTACGCTAGGCTTTAGACAAACTCCCCAAAAATGAGCTCCAGAAAGATGACATCTGAGGAGGCTTTATCACAGATTTTTAACTGGGATAATGATGTAGAGGAAGAGATTTCAAAAACAGAGGATTTTTCAGAGACAGAGGACAGTGTTATTGCTGATCCAGATTGTCAATTTTCCGACGATAAGGAGGATTCAGAGTACAAATCTTTGGTCAAGGAAAGAGAAAGGGAGGAAGGAAGGTAGGAAGGAAAGAAGGGAGAAAGGAAGGAAGGAAGGAAGAGAAAAGAAGGGAATAGGAGGATGAACAGAGAGAAGGAAAACAGGATGAGAAAAAGGAAGGAGAAAGCATGACAGGAGGAAAGAAGGAGTGAAGAATTGTCATTTTGACCCGAGAGGAGGACAAGAAGATTAGACTAAATTTTTCTTTAATATAGCGTTAGAATAAGAAATTTATTGTAGGACACTTTTCTAAATATTTATATAACCTAATATAAAGTTTTTATTGGTTTAACCTGTTTTCTTGACTGTTTTGAGAGCATTTACACAGTTCGGGTCAAAATGACCCGCAACATAATCAATGTAATTTTTTTTCAACATAATACAAGGGTTAATTAATGTATAATTTATGGTTAATTAGTGTTTATAAAGCACTTATTAGTATTTATTGTACATGGTCTTTAACATTGAACTAACCAATTGCTGAGGCTTTCCCTGTGGGTTAAGGTTAAGGTTACGGTAGTTAGTAATTAGCACTTAATCAGCTGTTAATTAGATGGATAGATGCTGTATTGATGCAGGTGTCCAGTAGCAGCAGGAGCACATCCATCCAAACAAACACAACAAATGAATACATCATTTTTTGAAAATATCAACAATAAAATGAAAATGCAACAGGACTGTAGGTCACAGCAGCAGAGGTTTTTCTCTTGATTCGCTTTTTCGGACCATGAATCATCTGTGCTCTGGTCTGGAGCGCAGTGTAAAACCATGAACAACATCTCAGGCGGAAAAAAGAACGGAAAACAATAATTACAACTGTTTCAAATCAAGTTATTTGTATAGCACAATTCATACACAAGGAAACTCAAAGTGCTGAACCAAACGAGAGAGAAACCCTCAAAGAAGGCATTCAAATCACAGATAATCACAGAACATTGAAAAGAGTAAAGATAAAATCCTGTTGTTGCAGAAACAGAACTGAGCTACTTAGGACTTGCTGCCGTTTCCAGTGCATTCAAAAGAAATGAAATGACTCTAAAGAGAGTGAGTGGATTGTGAACGGTCTGAGAAAACACTGTCTCTGTCTCTGTGTGTGACCTTGGTCTGTGATGTGCGCTATATAAATAAACATGACTCTTGCTGATCATCGCTATCACATCTACAGAAAGCTAATCTGAAACCTTCAAGACAATTAACCAAAGAAACTCCTGCTGCTGCTCTTGCTCCATGCTGTGAGTGTTGTTGCAAAGAATTCTGGGAGTTCTGCGAGAGGTTGTTATTGATCGTGCATAAATCTCGGTTTCCACTGCTGCACACACACAGACCTGTGTCTACACAGCTGCACACACACAGACCTGTTTCTACACAGCTGCACCCACACAGACCTGTTTCTACACAGTTGCACACACACACATCTGTGTCTCCACAGCTGCACACACACAGACCTGTGTCTCCACAGCTGCACACACACAGACCTGTGTCTTCACAGCTGCACACACACAGATCTGTGTATACACAGCTACACACACACAGATCTGTGTATCCACAGCTGCACACACACATCACACATGTGTGCACACATGCATCATTTGTTTTTAATTATATTTGTGGTGTGTGGTTTTCTCTGCGGTTTGCCGTGTTCCGCTCTGTGTTTGGTGAAGAGAGCGGTCGACAGAATCACAGCTACATTTGCACACACACAGCACACAATAAGTGATCAATAACTCTTTACTGAAATAAATTCACTCTGACTTTATAAAGAAGCAAAATAAAAATCCTGTATATTCTGACATTATTCAATGTATGATTGCACGGATCGTCAAGAATAAGATGATTGGAAAAACACATGTGAATAAATACTCATTACCACCGTTTGCTGTCACTTCTGTCACTTCCACAGCTCACACACTCCACATACTTTACTTCAGCCTCATTTAAAACAGTCTCTAACGTGGGATTGTTCACATTCATCAGTATTTCACTCCGACTGCACCACACTGCAGTCACACAGGGGCGACAGTAGCTCAGTTGGTAGAGCATTGGCCTTAAAGGAATAGTTCACCGTTTTTACATACTGACATATGTTCTTACCTTACCTTAGACTAGTTAATACGTACCTGTCTGGTCTTAGTCCGTGCGCTCTGTCATGCAAACGGAGCAAAAACGGGAGCACAACCGCAGCCTCCTCTGTATATTTTGTAGCACCAAAAGGTAGCTCCCGCTAGAAGCTACCAAACTCTTCCAAGTGTTCCCTATTAAATGTATATAGTTACGTGACGTGTTACACTGCAAAGTATAGTAACACAGAAATGTAACAGTCGATTTTCTCAGCGGATAAAACGGGTACTATATTGTGAGGCGTAGTAATCTGAGGGGCGCTACGTCCGCGCACTAACTTCTCTCCGGAGACTTCTCTCTCGCTCACTTCCGTCAATAGAAGCAGCGTGACTTGTAATACACACAGTAGCAGCGAGAGAGAAGTCTCCGGAGAGAAGTTAGTGCGCAGAGAAGTTAGGAGCGCTACGTCCGCGGAGAGTTTGGTAGCTTCTAGCGGGAGCTACCTTTTGGTGCTACAAAATATACAGAGGAGGCTGCGGTTGTGCTCCCGTTTTTGCTCCGTTTGCATGACAGAGCGCACGGACTAAGACCAGACAGGTACGTATTAACTAGTCTAAGGTAAGGTAAGTCCATATGTCAGTATGTAAAAACGGTGAACTATTCCTTTAAGGCCAGAAGGTCGTGGGTTCAATCCCCACCTCTGCACCTTCTTCACCGACTCCCACTGACCCCCCCCCCCCCCCCCCCCCCCCCCCCCCCCCCCCCCCCCCCCCCCCCCCCCCCCCCCCCCCCCCCCCCCCCCCCCCCCCCCCCCCCCCCCCCCCCCCCCCCCCCCCCCCCCCCCCCCCCCCCCCCCCCCCCCCCCCCCCCCCCCCCCCCCCCCCCCCCCCCCCCCCCCCCCCCCCCCCCCCCCCCCCCCCCCCCCCCCCCCCCCCCCCCCCCCCCCCCCCCCCCCCCCCCCCCCCCCCCCCCCCCCCCCCCCCCCCCCCCCCCCCCCCCCCCCCCCCCCCCCCCCCCCCCCCCCCCCCCCCCCCCCCCCCCCCCCCCCCCCCCCCCCCCCCCCCCCCCCCCCCCCCCCCCCCCCCCCCCCCCCCCCCCCCCCCCCCCCCCCCCCCCCCCCCCCCCCCCCCCCCCCCCCCCCCCCCCCCCCCCCCCCCCCCCCCCCCCCCCCCCCCCCCCCCCCCCCCCCCCCCCCCCCCCCCCCCCCCCCCCCCCCCCCCCCCCCCCCCCCCCCCCACCCCCCCCCCCCCCCCCCCCCCCCCCCCCCCCCCCCCCCCCCCCCCCCCCCCCCCCCCCCCCCCCCCCCCCCCCCCCCCCCCCCCCCCCCCCCCCCCCCCCCCCCCCCCCCCCCCCCCCCCCCCCCCCCCCCCCCCCCCCCCCCCCCCCCCCCCCCCCCCCCCCCCCCCCCCCCCCCCCCCCCCCCCCCCCCCCCCCCCCCCCCCCCCCCCCCCCCCCCCCCCCCCCCCCCCCCCCCCCCCCCCCCCCCCCCCCCCCCCCCCCCCCCCCCCCCCCCCCCCCCCCCCCCCCCCCCCCCCCCCCCCCCCCCCCCCCCCCCCCCCCCCCCCCCCCCCCCCCCCCCCCCCCCCCCCCCCCCCCCCCCCCCCCCCCCCCCCCCCCCCCCCCCCCCCCCCCCCCCCCCCCCCCCCCCCCCCCCCCCCCCCCCCCCCCCCCCCCCCCAAAAAATAATAATAAAATATATACCCTTCCCCCCCCCCCCCCCCCCCCCCCCCCCCCCCCCCCCCCCCCCCCCCCCCCTTTTTCCCCCCCCCCCCCCCCCCCCCCCCCCCCCCCCCCCCCCCCCCCCCCCCCCCCCCCCCCTTTTTTTTTTTTTTCCCCCTCCTTTTGTGTGTGGTGGTGCCCCCCCCCCCCCCCCCCCTGGGTGTGGGCCCCCCCCCGGTGGGGGGGGGGCCCCCCCCGGGCCCCCCCCGGGGGGGCCCCCCCCCCCCGCCTCAACATCGGACCGATTTTTGGCAACTGAAGCATCTCCTCTACTCTCAGTTGCAAAAAGGCCGCCTTTGAAACTAGTTGTCTCCAGTTACTCTGTCGAATGTACGCTAGGCTTTAGAAACAAACTCACCAAAAATGAGCTCCAGCAAAGAATGACATTCTGAGGTGGCTCTTTATCACAGATTTTTTATCTGGGATAGTGATGTAGAGGAAGAAGTAGTATTTCAGAAAACAGAGCCATTTTTCAGGACACAGAGGACATGTTATTGCTGATCCAGATTGTCAATTTTCCTACGATAAGGAGGTTTCAGAGGAACAAATCTTTGGGTCAAGGAAAAAGAGGAAGGGAGGGGATAGGGAAGGAAGGTAGGAAGGAAAGATGGGAGGGGGAAAGGAAGGAAGTAGGAAGGAAATAAGGCAAGAAAGGACGAAGAGAAAAGAAGGGAAATATAGAGAGAGGCTGAACAGAGAGAAGGAAAAACAGGATGAGAAAAAGGAAGGTGGAAGAAAAGCCATGGGCAGAGGGGAAAGAGTGTAGGGAAAGATAGAGAATTGTCCATTTTGACCCCGAGGTAGGAGGTGGCAAGAAGATTGAGACTAATATTTCTTAAATATAGAGTTGGGAATTAAAATATGTATTGGTATGTCACTTTGTAAATATTTTTATAAAACACTAAAATAAAAGTTGTTTTTGGTTTATTAACCTGTTTTCTTGACTCTGTTTTTTGAGTGCATTTACACAGTACGGGTCAAATGACCCGCAACATACTCCAATGTAATTTTTTTTCTACATATTACAAGGGTTAAATGTTTATGTTTTTTTTCCTAATTTAAAACATAAATTCAACATTTTACCTCATAAATGGGGGCGCCCGGCTACCTCTCTCCGCTCCGTGATCCATGTACTTGCTCGGGGGTCGGCTCAAGTACAACAGGCACAGGCCCATGATAATACGTGTGCCAGGCGTCCGGAAAATCGCATCAGTAATGATTCTACTCACTCACAATAGTCCCGCACTTTTGGATGTGAGTGACGTGAAAATAATTTGTATAGTGTGGGACAATTCGAATAAAGCCCAAAGGTCGTTTGTTCTGGCCCTGGTACACTATGGGGGATTGGGCTGATCGATTGCTTCTTGTCTTGCTTACCCGGAAAAAATTAAAAGCATGACATTTCATGCAGACGAAAAAATATAAATGCAAACGAATTTTTGGACACATTGAATTTTAAAACATGAAATTATTTACACTGAATACTTTTTTGTTACAGTTTATAGAATTCAAAAGCAAAAAAAAAAAAGTGTTGATTAATATAAAAAACCACCAATAAAAAAACCTTCATACAAGCCTACTGGGTATTCCCTTAATGGCTTGCTTTCCTTAGAAGGCTCTTGTATATTAGGAGTGACTGTATTTATCGACCAACACCCTGCTCATGTCGGTCTTGATCTTTGTGGTGAGTTTCAGTGTCTTCTGGACCATGGTGCTAACAGTTTCACCTTTGATGAGCTCCCAGAGGCACTGGCTTTATTCAGGGGGGACACTGTGACATACTTCTCTCCAGAAGTATGTCAGAGTAAAGTCAGCAGCAGGCTTCAAGGCTAATTTAATTGATCCAGCAAAGACACATCTTGCCTTGGGTGGGTTGAGGTGGCCATGGTTTTCTATCCTCCAACTAGGATCTTTCTGGCAGCTGCTCCTGTACTCTGTTCTATCTTCTTTTGTTTACTGCCCCATCTGGTGGCAGTTTTATACGTCACATTATTATGTAGTCATGAAATTTAATCTTTTTTCTAAGAAGTTCGTATTTTATTACAAATGAGGGATTTATATTTTATAATCTGTAAATTAGAGAGAAGAGTTTAAAATCATGTTTGTTTTAAAAATTATTTTTAAATTAAAACAAAATGGTTTATCAAAAATAAAAAAAAAGTTGCTATGCATAAAATGAAAATTATGATGATATAATTTATGGGGAAAATGATAAACTTTGAGAATGCATTCGTGTTCTACTGTTAGATGATGAAACGGTTTAACTCTGTCCACCTCTAGTGTTTTTAATGTTTCTGGACACCATCGCTCCTGTGAAGGTTTAAAATAGTGAAAAAAATAAGGCAGAAGGCGCGTGGGCCTATATCGCAGATTCGGTCAGGGCACCAAAAGAGAGGTTGTCGGTGGGCTTCCCCCCTCGAGCGGAAGTGGGCGGCAAGTTTCAACCTCAGGTTGTTACGACGGATCTTCAATAGATAAGTTGTGCGGAGTTTAAAAACCAGGTGCTACGTAGTACGAGGAGTAGAGAAAGGTATTTTTCTGAAAATGATTTGAAATAATATAAAAGGCTGCAGCAATAATCTGCGTGTTCTGTTCTCCAAAACAGTTAATAGGATTAATAACAAACCCCCCCCCTGGTTTTTTCAATGCCATTAGAGCTTACCTCCAAACGTAAAAATGCAATGGAGTTTTGCTAATTTGTTTCAATGAACAAGGTTCAAAGGCATCAACAACGCCCATTGTCTCCAATCCCACTGATAACCATCAACAGCCAGAAAGGCTCTCTAAGCTAATTCACTTTGCACCTGTAAATGATCAAACTTCCAAGAGGATAATCTCCAGTTTGAGCTCCTCCACCTTGCAGCTGGATGTACTTCCCACTAGGGGTGGGGTGGGGGATTTCTGAAGTCTGTGCTGATACAGTCTGTTTCCTTCACTCCACCTGATAGTAAACATGTCCCTTCATTTCTGGGAAATAGTCCAAAGGCCCTGAAAACTGCAGTCATTTCTGGCCCCTGCTAAAAAAAAAGAAGCAGTTGGTTGCTTACGGTATTAACACTATCGTTCCCATCTCAAATCTGCCATTTATGGGGAGAAAAGTCCTTGAGAAAGTTTGTCTACCTACAGCCTTACTAGAATTTCTTATAAACAAATCTAGTTGATATGGTTTTTCAGTCCGGCTTTAGAACCCCTCCACAGCAATGTGACTGCTCTCGTCAAGGTTAAAAACGATATCCGGTGACGTCTCCTATCTGAACACTGACGCAGGCAAAGTACTCAATCTTAATCTTGTTAGATCTAGTGCTGCCTTTGACACTGTCGACCATGGAGATCCTCTTACAGGAGGGGACCTAGAGGGGACTGGGTTTGGCGTCCCACTGGCACCGCCCTAAGTTTGGTTTAGGTCTTACTTTGTAGACAGGGAGTACTTTGTGGAGATTGGAAAAATGATGTCTCAGAATCATATGGCCCTGACCTGTGGAGTTACCACAGGGGTCGATGATCCTGGGATCCTCTTCCTGTTCTTCAAATCTCTAACATGATGCCGTTAAGGTTAAGTAATACGCAGGAAAAAAAGTGGTACTATCACAACTATGCAGTCGGACACTCAGGAATTCTATGTCTCAATGGGGACTGCAGGAAGAACATGGGACTGTGGAGGACCTCACTCCTTCACTGGTATCCAACAGATCAGTGAAGTGGGATGCCCAAAACAATTCCTTCAGGCTAAAAACGCAGGGACAAAACTGATAACTGATCAGTCTTTCCCCAGAATACAAGAGAGGAGTTTCATCCTGTCACCTCCTGTCTCATCTCCTAAAAACCTTCTCAAACAAGGGTCAGAAATCTTCGGTGGTAATACTGGGACTCTGGACTTAAATTTTAATAGCTACATCAAATCAAGTAACTACAGCTTTTACCTCTAAAAAAAACATTGCCATGGATCAAAATACATTGTGTCCTCTCCCTAAAGCAGATCTGGGTGATTCTTAATCCATGCATCTGTCTCCAGAGGTTAGACGACTGCAATGGCCCTGCTCACTGGTCTGTCCAAAAAAATCAGGCTGTTAATATAAACAGCTGCCTGTTAATTCAAATTTTCCTCTCTCTTTTCCTCTCCCCCTCCCGTTTTGATTTGTTTGCGGTTTCGTTGTGTTTTTTTTGTGTTGTTGAGAGAGTTATTTTGAAATGTACTGCAGCTGTTTTACAGGACTGTTTGGTACAACCTGTGAGCAGGCCATTTGCAGTAGAAAACTAACCTTCTGGTGGACAATTGCAATGGATAAGAATCTCTCCCCAGATTCTGCTTTGACACTATGTTTTTGATTCCTGGCATGTTTTTTAGATGTAATAATGGCTGCATGGTACTGATTTGATGTAGCTATTAAATTTAAGTCTAGTCCAGTATTACCCGAGAATTTCTGACTTGTTTTGGAAGGTTTTTAGGGAGAGAGGAATGGTGGTGACAGGATGAACGCTCTCTTTTTGTTTCTGGGGACCAAAGACAATCATTTCAGTTTTTGTCTGCGTATAGCTGAAGGAAGATGTTGTTTTGCATCCACTCACTGATCTGTTTGGATACAGTGAAGGGAGTGAGGTCCCACTGGTCATGTTCTCCTGCAAGTCAGTGAGACAATAGATCTTGAGTGTCGTCTGCATAGTTTGTGATAGGTCACTTTGTTTTGCGTATTAACTGACCTAAACGGGCAGCATGTAGAGATTGAACAGAAGATGTCCCAGGATCGACCCCTGTGGTACTCCACAGGTCAGGGCCATATGATCTGAGACAACAGTTTCCATCTCCACAAAGTACTCCCTGTCTTCAAAGTATGACCTAAACCAACTTAGGGCGGTGACAAGTGACGGGCCAACCCAGTCCTCTAGTCATCTGTAAAGGATCTCATGGTCGAACAGTGTCAAATGGCAGCACTAGATCTAATCAAGGCTTAAAGATTGAGACTTTGGGCCTGCGTCAGTGTTCAGCCGGATTATCGTTTGTAACCTTTGACGAGAAAGCCAGTCTCAGTGCTGTGGTGGTGGGTCTAAACGCCGGGGACTGAATAACATATCAAATGAGTTGTTGATAAGAAAATCTAGTAAAGCTGTAGGTTGGGACAACTTTTATCAAGGACTTTCCCCATAATTGGGCAGATTTGGTTGATGGGTCGATAGTTGTTAAGTACCGTAGCATCCAGGACTGCTCTTTTTTAGAGGGCTGTTGACTGCAGTTTTCAGGGCCTTTGGGGAAATATTCCAGAATGAAGGACTGTTACTATATGTGTGAGTAAGGTAAACAGACTTGCTTCAGAACAGACTTCAGAATAATCTAGTGGTTAGTAAATCCAGATGCATGTGGAGAGCTCAAACTGGGAGGATTATCTCTTGACAGTTTGAATCATTTACAGGTTCAAAGTGAATTGCTCAGAGAGCCTTTCTGGCTGTTGGATGGTTTTCTGTGGAATTGGAGACAATGGCGTTGTTGATTGCCTTGAACCTTGACATTGAAAAAAATTAGCCCAAAAACTCATTGCATTTACGTTTGAAGTAAGCTCTAATGGAAGTTGAAAACAGGGGGGTTTGTTATCTATTACTGTTGAGTAACAGAACACCGCAGTTTATTGCTGCAGCCCTTCATCATTTCAGAAAAATACCTTTCTCTCGTACTACGTAGCACCTGGTTATACTGCACAATTATCTTTGAAGATCTCGTGATCAACCTGGAGGTTGAAACTTGCGCCACTTCCGCTCGGCCCTCCGACACTTTCTTTTTGTGCCCTGACAGAGTCTGCTTTTAAGCCACGGCGCCTTCTGCCTTATTTTTTACTATTTTAATACCTTCCAAACAGGTAGCGATGGTGTCAGAAAACATTCAAAAAACACTAGAGATGACGGTTAAAAAACAGTTTCATCTACCAGGTGAACACGATGCATTCTTTCAAAGGTGTATCATTCCCATAAAATAGATCATCATATTTTCACTTTATGCATTAGCAACTTTTTTTTATTTGATAAACATTTTGTTTTAATTTGAAATAATTTATAAAACTAATGATTTAACTCTCTCTATTTTACAGCATATAAAAATATAAAAATCCCTCAATTGCTAATATAATATAGAAACTTCTTAGATAAATAGATTAAATTCATGACTAACATATAATGTGAACGTTACTAACACGAACCAGATGGGGGCAGTAAAACAAAAGTTGTTAGACAGAGTACTGGAGCAGCTGCCAGAAAGAATCCTAGTGGAGGGATAGAAAACATGGCCAAACTAACCAACATTGCAAGTGTGTCTTTGCTGGAGTCAATAAATGCAGCCTTGAAGCACTGCTGCTGACTTTACTGACATACTTTCTTGGCGTGAGAAAGTATGTCACAGTGTCCTGAATAAAGCCGTGCTGGAGCTCATCAAAGGTGAACTGTTAGCTCCATGGTCCAGACGACACGACCTCTCCACAAAGATCAAGACCGACATGAGCAGGGTGTTGG